TTCTTCGTTGTTTACAGATATGCATTAAATTCCCGTTTGTTTCCCACATTATTAGCTTCCCATCTAAAATATTTGGTGCCCCCATCCCTATTATCATAGCTTTATTTTCTTTAGTATGATAATATAATATTATGTTACAGTAATATGTACATTTTTTCTTTATCGTTTTTAGATTCTGAGAAAAGTAAGGAATGTATTGGCAAATACAATGATTAATAACTTTTTTTAATACTGAATACAAAATTTTGCTAAGATTTGAAGTGTAGCATTATTGTTAAAAGTAAATTTTATCTACTGGTTAGATTAAGAAGATATTTCTTTAAATTTGCATAACAATAAGAAAAACATAGGGATAAATTATTAATAAGTTTAGAATTTTGTAACCTATGCTTTGTACTAGCTAGCTCGCTTCTATCAAAAAATTACAAAAGATCTTTTTTGTCGAATTTTGGATTTGATTTCTCGAGAAAGATGATTTTTTGTTGATTTTCCTAGTAGTTTTCCCAATAATTAAAAAATTAAAAAAAAAAAGAAATAAGAAAAATGTACAGGTTTCACTACAATTTCATTATTTCAAATTCTTACGTTGTCTGTTTTCTACCAGAAATATTAATTCAATAAAAAAATGACCAGAAATCATTGTTGTTATACTTTTAATCTAATTGGTCAGTTATAGAGTTTTTTTTGGTGATCCAAGGGATTTTCAAATAATTGGGAAAAACCGGAAAAAAATGAAGAAAAAACGGGATAAATGAAAAAAAAAAAAATGCTATTATCATTTTCAATTTTTGTTGTAATTCGGTAAAAAATATTCATAGAGACTTGGTATTTTGTTAGAAAATTCAAAACATTTGAGTCATTTTTAAGTTATTATATACATTTTAATTTTGCGAGTTGTTTACATAATATTTATTCAATAGCTACTCTGTGAACAAAATTGTTAACCCAAACAGAAATGCTTGAAAATTTAACAGGAACTTTATTATAACCTGTCATCAGTGATCGACAAGGTGTTCAACAAGAAAAAAATGAGTTGCTAAGAATTACAAAGAATGAATAAAACACGCCTATTTTCATATGAACGTATAATATAAATTAAATACAGAAATTAAATCTGATCAATGTTTAAACCTACATATAATATTAAAAATCACTTACCTCCAGGTCCCTCTAGAACAAAAATCAAAAATACAGTTTTAAAGACCACATTTTGTTGTATATGACTATTTTATGTTTAATAATATAGTTCACATTTCATATAAAAAAATAACATATCATTTTCAAGTCTTTACTAATTAAAATTATTAATAAACTAGTTGTCAAAAAAAAAACACAAATAAATCAGATAATAAAAGACTTTTATCCCTATCAGTAATATAATCAATGGTATAATAAAACAAATCCATAATTATTTTAAAAATCGATATTTTCTCTACAGGCGTAAACAATTTTTCAGACCTACTTACCGAATTTAAAAATGTAATCGGCTGTAGTAGTTTCGTATATAAATTAACATCTGGCTACTGAAAGGCACGAACTTAACAACCTGACGATTAAAGAACCTAAGTTCGATTTCTGAAGGATAATGATACAGAGCACCAAACTTATCAGCTCCGAACTGGAAAATCATACAGAGCTTTCTTACGGAATTTCTACTTCTTTACTTAAATCCCTGAAATAACCATAGAAATTGAAGATATCGAATTCCAACTAGAAAAAACCTGTGCTAGGGTAATAGGGACGGAAGCAGCTACTGTTATAGATGGGAAATTGGGAATGTACAAGTTGACAACAGAAAAAAAAAATAAACATATTTGTAAAATCATAAGAGCCTTCGCTCCAATTAGAATCTAAAATCACAAATATTAGGCACCATCAAACAAAATATCCTCTTCCCTAGCTATTTGTTAATCTTGAGCCTGACTTCAACAACGATATTTTTATATCACTTTTCTGTTACACTCAAAAATTAAGATAAGGTTTAGATACACAGAATGTAGTTCCTAATATAATATTATTAGCTGTCTCACGCCCCGTGTGGCCCGGGCTATTTATTATTCTTTTTACTTTAATTTCCATTTTACTTTGTCCGTATTAGTATATTGAATTAAAAAAATAGGTGTAAATTGGGTAGTCCACGGACTAAAAGTGTTCTGGTGTACCATCCATTTTTTAATTCATATTGGGATGAATTAAGTTTTTATCTAATATACCAAGATAGCCCATCCTATTTCAATAATAAACCGGGAGATAGTCAGATAGAATCTTTATTTTATGTTATTATAGTTGTTATGACGTTTTTTTTTTTTTTAATTTTTTTTCATTTCATCCATTTTAATATTTTTATCCATAATTCAACAAAAATAATTTAATTTTTGTACCAAAAATACCTAAAAATCTTTCATCTCCTTGAATTTTTATTTTCGTGACAAAACATTGTCTATATTATTTTTGGTCTCGAACTATGTATATTATGCAAAATTTTAACTTAATCCGTTTCATAGTTTGAGCGTAAAAGAGTTACAAACATATATATGTTTGCATTATCACAAACTTTCTCATTAATATTAATTAGTATAATGTTATTATAATATGTTACATTTATATGTTAATTTATATCTAGCAATGTTGCATTTTAAATCATACATAATAGATATAATATTAAAAAATCACTCACCTCCGGATGCCCCTGGAGTAAAAAACAAAATACCATTTTGAATAATACACCTTATTGTATAAGACTATTCAGGTTTAGTAATTTAGTGCATATTTTATATAAAACATAAAATATCATTTTCAAGTCCTCGCCAATTAAATTCATTAATAAACTGATTGCCAAAAAAACTTCAAATGAACCAGATGATAAAAAATCTTTATTCCTATCAGTGATATTGTCAATTGGTGTACTAAAAACAAAACCATAACTATTTTAAAAATAAATATTTTAATTACAAGCGTAAACAATTATTCAGACCCACTTACCAAATTTAAAAAGACTTTCTAGGATAATGGGGAAGGGTACAGCTACTGTTATAGATAATTTAATGTACGAACAAACGTAACTCTCCACACCGATTTCCTTTCAGAAGAGGTGCTTCACTTAAAAAAAAAAAATCGAAGCAAGTCTTCTGGTAGAAAATTTGCGTACAAAAAAAAAAATGGAAAGGTAAGATACATAAGATTATTTCATTTTTCTGTAAGTAATGATGAACGATCGCTTGACGAAAGACAACTTTGAGCACAGTTCGGTAATTTGAAATGCTGTAATTTTTTTTTGCAATTTTCGTTTACATTTAGTTTTAAAACGCTCATTATAAAAAAAATAAAAAGTCTGCTGATATTAGAAATTTTCTAGACAACTGAAATATCAGAAAAGATGCTACATTTATACGTCGAAGCAAGTTTACTAGAAAAAAGGCGTGTTCACATACTACAACAAAGAAAGAAAAATAAAAAAGATAAAATAAACAGTATTGTAAAACCAATAGCCCTGTCGCTACGCTCGGAATATAAAAAATAAACATTTTTGTAAAACCATAAGCTTTACTTCTTCGTTCATTCAGAATCTAAAATGAGATCAGCTCAAAGAGTTTTGTACATAAATCAACATCTGGCTACTGAAAGGCTTAAACTGAAAAACCCGACGTTTAGGACCTTAATAAGGAACCCAGGAATTTGATTAATGTATACGGTATTAAAAACGGTACGATTGTATACTAAATCAAGAGTAAATATTCGAAAACATCCCTCAAAAAAAGAAAGTATAATCATCCCGTTTATAGTTTTCGATAAAGAGTTAGAAAATCATTTTGAATTATACTGATCGACGGATAGGAGAAGAAAAACACTATTGTTTAACATCTAATTTTTTGAGATTGATTTGCTATCAAATAACTAGACATAAGGGCTACACGTTATTTTTCAAACGATGTTTTAAAGGGTACAGTGGTATAATCCTATACCCAAATATATCGGGGACGTAAGATTGAATTCAACGACCATTCGCTACGGCGGTAGCGCCACCCGTCAAAGAGCCTAATGCCGACAATCCGGTAAAAATAGGTATCGGTGGGGCGTTTGGTTATTATTTTTATTTTTCTTAAACGTCTTTCTCGCTGCAGTCATGCATTATTTTATTAATATTTTAATGTTTTTATTCATTATAGTTTTAGCTGCTATAACTGCGGTCTTGGATCCACACCCCGTGACCCCCAATTTACGTTTAGTTTTCATAGCCGTAGTGATAGTCCACGCCGATGCTTCTTTCTTAAAGTTAGCGTCTTTTGATTTAAACCTTTCTCAAGCCCGATTTTCTAATATATAATCTACTTTATAACGATCCATTAAAGAATTACTCCGATTGTAAGCCAAATCGTGTTTTCTATACACCAAGTCCAGTGGGTTTATACCTATATTACCTTTAGCTGTACGTTTTTTCAAATCAGTACCCGGTCCACAAAATGAATAACCCAGTAAATGAAGCATGATAGGTAATTTATTTATAAAGGTATTGAAGAGTCCGCAGCCTTTATTCTTGTCCCGTCCTCGAGCAAGCGACATTGTGGTATGATATGATTTTTCGCGCTACACGATAATTTATAGAAAGATGAAGTTTATAGAACACGTAAAACTCACAGTTGACAATTTTGATTAAAAGACCCATTTTTTCACGTGTCTTATACGTGCGGTATATTATTCTTTGATAACCCGAATGATATATAAGATATATATAAGGAAATAAAATAATATTTGACAAATTTTTGTTTTCGAGTACCTATATAATTTAACGGAACAATAATCCGATATGTGTATTTAGACATGGCATATGATTGTGACCATGGAGATAAAAGATTATATGTAGGTATAAACTTGGCTAGTTAGATAACAGTGATAACGGATTTTAAAGGTATATTAAGTATTCAATAATACGAGAGTTGTCTCAAAAGTAATGCACAATTTGCTCTGAATAAATAAGTTTTTATTTTAAACTAAATACAATATTATAGACCTTCGATATAATCTCCCTGCTTGTTTATACACAATTGCCATCGTTTCGAGATCGCTTGAATGCCGCATAGGACGCCATCTTTGTTGAGTTCACGTATCCTTCGGCTCACTTCTTCATTTAGTATACCTAAGTTGGGAAAACGGATCCCTCTAAGTTGTTCCTTCAGTTTTGGAAATAAATCAAAGTCCGGGGGACTTAAATCCGGCGAATACGGTGAGTGTTTGAGGCGTTCCCATCCATATTTCTCCAAAAGAGCGACGACTGGTGCTCCGATATGCGGCCGCGCATTATCGTGCAATATGGACACACCATTTTGTAACATTCCTGGTCGCTTTTTACGGATTTCTGGTCGCAATTTTTTGGCAAGGAATGTTTTGTAGTAATCCCCGGTTACACTACTGCCAATTGGAACTCGATCAGTGACAATTATCCCAAGTTTATCGTAAGCAAAAATCTTTGTTTGCTGGCGACGAACTTTTTTTGCTCTTGGTGATGTTATTCCCTTCCAAATATTGCTTTGAGATTTTAATTCCGGCTCAAAATCACGGATCCAAGTCTCATCTATTGCAATTATACGATCAAGAAACGTTTCTTTTTCATTTTCGTAGCGAGAAAGGAGTTCACGGCAGATGTTCAAAAACAGAAATGTGAGCCGACAAATTGATCTCATTTTCGTTATCGCTCTCACACATCATCATACTTTACTAAAACAACTAAAACTGAAAACGCACGTGTTCGTTAGACTTCAAGCTACAAACTGATACTAAAATCAGCTGATAATATCACATTGCAAGACAGCTAGAGCGCGCTGTGCATTACTTTTGGGACAACTCTCGTAATATATGGCAAAATAAATTTAAAAAAAAACAATATTTTGAAAAAAAGATTGAGGGGAAATAAATTGTGTAAGTACTCTAAAATAATATATTAAAAAAATGAGGTAGGGGAATAAAAGGTTGATGAAGAGGAGGAGGCTAAGGAGGGTGCTGAATTTTCAAATGATGAGGAGTGTAAGGATGAGGATGAATGTGCTGAAGTCCCATTTCCCTACTACTCCAAAATATTTTTCATATTAAGTAGAAAAACCCAAAAAAATCGAAATATACAGGATTTTTCTTATTACAGCACAACGAATTCATTATTTTAAATTTGTACGACATGTTTTCTACCACAAATATTGCTTTAATAGATAAATGACAAAAACCCTTTTCGTTGAATTGTTTAATTTATTTAAGACCAAGAAAATCGTTTTTTGATTTTCTTTATAGTTTTTTTCAATAATTTAGCAACACCGTAAAATACGTATAGGAAAATTTACGAAAATAATTCTTTTAGTATTTTAATTTTAGTTTTTCGGAATGTAATTTAGTTTAAAAAATACGTAAAAACCAAAAATATTGACAGAAAATTTATATTTACTTTTTCTAGATATGGTAAAACTTTCTGAACTTTTGAAAAATTGTAGACGTATTTGTAAACATTTTTATTTTATGAGGTTTTTTACGTAATTTTTTATTTGATAGGTACTCAGTAGATAAATGTTTAGACTTAACAGAAATACTTGAACATTTTAATAGGAGGTTCTTTATAAGTGGTACATAGTGAAAAAGAAAGATTTAGTTTTTTTATAAAATATTTTTTTATTGTAAGAGTTTTAAAGTTAAATATTGACAAAAATCTAAAATTTTAAAAATGTATAACCGAACTTCGTCTCCGAATTGTGTTTCGTTATCAGTGGTTTATCGTAAGTCACGAGTTTAAATTAAATAACTCTATGTATATCTACTTCCCGACTACTCACCTACTAATGGCCACACCCGACCCCAGTTCAGTTCTTTTTTATTATTATTATTATTTTAAAGTTAAAGCAATAGGATACCGTACATTAATATTCTATGCGCACCTTTTTCACTTTAACGATTGCGTACGGAACAAAAGTCCTTATTTATTTAATTTTATAAAACATGTATATTTACCGTATGCCGTATGGACGAAAACTGTAGTAAGAATTATAGAAATTATACTTATACGTTTCATTGTAGATGTATAAATATTTGGTAGGTACTTTACTGTTAATGAAAAGAACGAATTATGAACAAAAATATATTTGTATAGCCTTATATAGTGATACATAAAAGACTTACGTAAATAATGTACCGTTTATTTAAAAATAATATTTATAGTGACGTATACTACACAAATACGGATTTTATGCTATATTAAAGGTTATTACAATTCGATTGGTCGCTCTGAAAAATGTTTAACCTAGTTACCAAAATTTAGAACGACGACGTTTACACTCGAATAGTGCTAAAACTAAAATTAATCGAAATACAGTTTGAAAAATAATCATAAAAAAGTTAAATTTACAATAAAAATGACATATACGTATACAATATTGCTTAGATAATTGTTTAATTAAGTAGTTATAATTTTTATTTTGTTAAAAACAACAAGAATATCTAGGCTGTATTATTTATTCTACCTATGTATTATTATTCGATTAAAGCAAGTTTTCTGGCTGATAAGTTGCTTAAAGGCACAAAAAAAAAATATATATATAAATCAAGTTACAGAAAATTTAGTAGATCCTAGTTAATAGGATAAATTCGATAAAATTGATAAAATATAAAAAGTATTGATATTTTCCTTTGTTTTAGTTTTGGAGTGGAGCAACTGGATTTTCTATAACTTGTTTAANACATTATACGAAGTTATACGATTGATCTAGTTGGTGGAATGGGGAGGTTATAATTTATTTTCCATTGGGTTTTCATAATAATTGAGGAAATCTGGAAAAAGACTTAAATTATAAATTGACAAATATATAGCATTAAGATTTCTATATCCTCAATTTTTACAGTTTTTCACTAGAAATATTGCCCCAATCAAAAAACATCAAAAGACATTTTATAATTAAATTTTAGATCTAATTAATGATTACGAAAATCGTTTGACTCGTTTTCCTTGTATTTTTCTCGATAGTAAAGAAATTGAAGATAATCGGATAAGATATTTTTTGAACGAACGTGGATTGATCACAATCAAAATAGTATCGGTTTTTGCATGCACATATACATGTTCATTCTCTCTACTCATTTAAATATGTTGTATTTGTATTCTTTATGGCTAGAGTCTAGAATTATATAATGCATATGAAATCTGAGCCATTGAAATCAAACTGTTTTCATGGACTAAATTTTGAATATCGATGCCAGATATGAAAGGTTAAGGTATTTTTTGTTAATATATCAAAAACAATAATAATTTCTATATTTTTTATACTCTTAAAAAAATGAATTAAGTATTTCGTCTTTTTTCATTATTTTTAACTATAAAGACGAGGATTTATATGTCGAACATCAATTTATTAATTTAAAAATTAAGGTTATCGTCAACTAATTGTTTGTAATCAAAAATTATATTATATATATATATTGTTGCCAACTGATTTTAATTTAACATAATTGGAAAATGTACAATACATACATCGGGTAGTAGAAAACTATATCTAATTATAGTTTATCATATTTCATGTAATTAAAAAAACAGCTAGGTTATTTATATTAAATCGAGACAAATTGAAGAATATATAATTAAAATATTATTATGTTAAATAATAAATCTTAAATTGTAGGGTGTTAAAGAATTATGCTATAAATAAAACTTTACATATCACAAGGAATCTTATTAGGCATCTTATTTTAAGGAATTTATAAAGTTAAAAAGAGCTAATATTGGGACGGGTGCGGCCAGTGATATTGGTGGATAGTTGAGGAGGCGGGGAACTAAAAATTACTTAATTTATACCAGTTATTAACGTTAAATTATTGATAACGAAAAACAATTAGGAGCGAAGTTCAGTTATAAATATTTTGAACGGTCTTAATATTTACGATTTTCGTAACAAATTGCTTTTAAAACTCACAGAAAAAAAAACTACGTGACACACAATTTGGTTTTTTTTTTTTTTTTTAACGATTAGAATTAAAAAACTACTTTCTTGATCACTAAATACATTGAAATTTTTAACAAAAAAGACATCTTGTTGTCTTTATATTGGAGTAATATTTTATATAGAAAACATTAGCTGTTCAAATTTAAAATAAAAGAATCCTAGCCCTGTAAATTAGTTTTCATTTTTTATCATGTTCTGGTTTTTCTCAATTATTACAAAAACTACAAAAAAAAAAAAAATCAAATTATATACTCATAAACTAGATCAAAAATGAAACAAAGAAGGTATTTTGTTGTTTTTATATTGAGGTTATTAATAATAGAAAAATATATATTTGTCTTTTCCCAAAAATTATGAAAATTAATTTGGATATCAAAAAATGATTTAATGATTATATACTAAAAGGAACAAAATTGTTCTTTTGTAACGTTTTCGTTTGATAATTGTTCTGGTAGAAAACAAAATGAACCAAAATTAAAAACAATGAAAACGACGACGTCGGGGCGCGCTATAAATATTTGCTACCCATATTTAATATTTACCCATAATTTTCTTTCTGGTTTTCCTAAATTTTTTGAAAACCACTTAGGAAAAGACCTTCCCTCGCTACGCTACGAAGCTAGAAAAATATAATATAATTTGCAAATATTAATCCTGTCAACAGTAGTCACATTTAATTTATTAAATGTTGCATTCTCTTTCTGGTACAAAAAATGACAATATACATATTTCTTTGAATGACCTTAGAATTATGTTGATCAAAATACTTTCCATGTAGGTACACAATTCTTTTTCACTTTAAAGTTGAAATTTATATTTTGCATTTTTCAAAGTATTTTCCATTTTCAGAGCATTTTATTTAGAATTTGTCGATCAATTTTTTTTATTAATAGCTGAAACAATTTAATAATTTAAATTTAGATAATTAAAAATTTTTTCTTAAGATAATAGGTTTTCTTGATGTTAGGTTTACGATAATAATTTTAAAATTAATAAGTTTAACATAGAATTTAACACGATATTCAATTTTTGTTTTAGTGTAGGTGTGTAGAATAAATAATACAGCCTAGATATTCTTGTTATTTTTCACAAAATAAAAATTATAACTACTTAACACAACAATTATCTAAGCAATATTGTATACATATATGTCATTTTTATTGTAAATTTAATTTTTATATATTATATAATATATATATATATTAACAAAAAATACCTTAACCTTTCATATCTGGCATCGATATTCAAAATTTAGTCCACGAAAACAGTTTGATTTCAATGGCTCAGATTTCATATGCATTATATAATTCTAGACTCTAGCCATAAAGAATACAAATACAACATATTTAAATGAGTAGAGAGAATGAACATGTATATGTGCATGCAAAAACCGATACTATTTTGATTGTGATCAATCCACGTTCGTTCAAAAAATATCTTATCCGATTATCTTCAATTTCTTTACTATCGAGAAAAATACAAGGAAAACGAGTCAAACGATTTTCGTAATCATTAATTAGATCTAAAATTTAATTATAAAATGTCTTTTGATGTTTTTTGATTGGGGCAATATTTCTAGTGAAAAACTGTAAAAATTGAGGATATAGAAATCTTAATGCTATATATTTGTCAATTTATAATTTAAGTCTTTTTCCAGATTTCCTCAATTATTATGAAAACCCAATGGAAAATAAATTATAACCTCCCCATTC